CGCCCTTGCTCTCCCTGTTGGTGTTGTTGGTGCTCGATGCTGCGTTAATGTTGATCCTGTTGTTTGCTGTGTCAACGTCGATGTGGTTTTTGTTGCTTCTGGAGCTCTCTTGCGTTGTCGTTTCTGTTGTTGACGTTGGTGCTCGAGGCTGTCTTGATGTTGATCCTGCTGGTGCTCGGTTTTCGATGGGCTTTGCTGCGTCTCAGGTTGATATTGTTGCTGGCCTTGTTCCGCCCACACATCGCTAACTTCTCCAAACATCCCGCGAAAGCAGCACACTGTGAACTCCAGGCTCCGATGGTTCACGGACCCCCGCCCCACGCTTCCGCCGTCATAATATTTACGGCTCTCTTGCCCCGACCGGCACGAAGGTCGCAAGTTTTTGAACCGAACCGGTCGGCACCCCGTCCTTGTTGTCGCTGCCGCCACCTGTCGCCGCCGGCATTCACAGCTCGCTCGCCCCCGAACCCCGGTCTAACAACTAAGGCATGCACAACATGAGTACACAACCCCCCCTCCCTCGTCGCCGGATTGCTTTTACAGCTCGCTTGCCCCGATCGGCGAGGTCGTCGCTACCACCGAGCCAGTTAGCAATACCACCGACCTCGTGGCTGCCACCGAGGCAGCGGCCGACGGCGGGGGCGACGCAGCAACGCCCATCCTCGTCACCGACACCCCCGCGATTGGGACGGCGCCCCCTGTCGACGAGGTGGAAGCGGATGCCCCTGATGCGGTAAGCCGGGCAGATGATGATTGGACAAAGTTGTTGTTGTTGTTGTTGATGATGATGATGCTGTTGAATGTTTTGTGCCCGTAGTTGGTGGCGGCGTTGGTGCGCCCTTCCTTCTGAACCGTCCCGACCTACACGCGGTCATCCAACTTCCCAGCTACTGCTGTAAGCAGTTAACATACACCCTTTCCGACGGCCGGAGGCTTGCCTGGAACAACCCGAACAAGCACGAAACTTCCCTGAGGAAGGCCTGTCGAAAGAAAAAAACACCCGTCACCAAACCGGTCCTCGTCGTCACATTTTCTGCTGCCTCTCTCTCTCTCATGCCCTTGCATGTCTTCACAACGTGTTGATGGAGTTTGGCCTACACCCCCCCTCCTCACGGGTGCTGCTGGCCCTTCCTCCAGGCGCTCTTGTGGCCGCAAGTTGCTGCACAAGTGTTGGAAGCTGCCTGTGATGGTCGTGCAGCCGTCCACTCAATTCATGCGCTCGCTTTGTGCTTACATGTGATGTCTGCTGCCTCTTTCTTACTCGCGCTTTCTTACTCGCAACACGCCGTTCGACTGCTACTTCTGTTCTGGGGCGGCCCACCAGACTTGTTGCGTCTCACAGACCTGCCACCGCCTCTCGCCCATGTTTATTTTCTTATTACACAACGACATCGCAACCTTGTTTTTTTCTTGCAACACAAAAAGTACAGGTCACGGCCGCCCCCGTTGCCCCGACACCCGCGCCGGCCGCTGCCGCTGTAACTCCTGGACCTGTGGTGGCTGCCACGGCGGCTCCGGCAGCGGTAAGCACGCAATCGAGGTTGGCAGCCACCGCTAACAACGGTCGGGCGACGGTATTACCGTGACACCTTGGCGACTCATGTTTTGCATGCCCTAGCGGTTAGATCATTGTCCCACCACCGCGGGGGGGGGCGAGATTTCCATTGTTGTTGTTCCTGCTTCTTCAGCCCCCACTAGGACGCATGCCAACCCTTATCCCCCCCCCCCCCCCGCGGCCACGTTTAATCCCAGACCCTCTTTCGGTACAGGCCTCCATGCTCGCCTTCTGTAGTAGGCAGTGCTGGAGGTGTCCGCCCACCGTTCCCCTCCATTAACCCTCCGCCTGCTTGCTGCTCCCCCCCCCCTCTCTTGTCTTTGCCGCCGCTTGTTGTCGCTGTGCGCCCCGTGCTTCCTCCCAACACAGGCGACGACTGCGCCGGCTGCCGCAATCGCTGCTACTCCGGCGCCTGTGGCCGCGGTTGCTGCTACTACGGCACCTGTGGCGGCGGCTGCTGCTACTCCGGCGCCGGTGGCAGCGGTTGCTGCTACTACTCCGGCGCCTGTAACTGCGGCTGCTGCTACTCCAGCGCCGGTGGCAACGGTTGCTGCTACTACTCCGGCGCCTGTAGCTGCGGCTGCTGCTACTCCAGCGCCGGTGGCAGCGGTTGCTGCTACTACTCCGGCGCCTGTAGCGGCGTTAGCTGCTACTACTCCGGAGCCCGTGACGGTAAGCAAAGTGGACAGTCAAACTCTGGCGCGTTGTTATTGTTGTTGTCGTTGTTGTTGTTTCGTCGTTGTTTTTTTATCGCCGTTGGGATCTGTCTCGCTGCTTGCCGTCCCTGGCTACGATAGTTCCTGCTTTGTCTGGCTTTCGTTGTCGTTGTTGTCGTTTGGTGTCGTTGCCGTTGTTGTTGTTGTTTGCTGCTTTTGTATTTTTTTTTGTCCCTCCAGCTATCAAACTAAACCTAGCATCGGTGCGGCTTGTCGCAAGCAAGATGATACTTCCTGCCTGTGTGCGGCGTTGCTACCGTATTGTTGGCACCAAGTTCTTCACCTAACCCTTCAACCACAAACCACCATCACATCATTTCAACAGGCGACCACGACCGCGCCGGTTGCCGGTGTTGCGGTGGCCCCTACCCCGGACACGGCCTAATCTGCCTAATCTGCCGAATATTCGCCCCGGCGCAAACGCGTCAACTCGTCGAAGACGGCAGGATGAGCGTCCTACCTTGGTTTCGGGTGTCTTATTTGTTTCGTAGTTATGAAAGTGGTGAAGCAGGGGGAGGAGGGATGAGATGTATGGGAAGGAGGCTAGGTCAGCGCGTCCGATATCTTGTTTATCTCGCTCGCGCTGCTGCTCTGTATTTCCCCCCCCTCTCCACCCGGGTTTCTACTACGCCCGGGTGGTCACGAGAGGTGTTTTCGACACGAACATTGAAAGCATCGGTGGAGAAACAAACGCCGGCCTGATCCGACCGATCGGTCTCTCCCATGTCCAAGAGTTCGACTCTAACGCGTGACTCTGACGCGTGACTTTTTTCTTTTTTTCTTCACTCTTTCATGTTGTCCTGTATTCCTGTGTTACTGTTGTATGGAGTATATTATAGGTTTTATTGCTGTAGAGGTTCTTAGACTGGAGTGTCACTGAAGCGCGCCACACGTGAACTTGAAATTGCTCGGTGTGTCGATGAAATAGCTCTTGGTGTCCTTCCAATCGCTGTTTGTACGCGCAGTGCGCTACCCGCTGGAATTCTTCGTTTTTCCCGAGTTAGTTACCTCAGGTCATTTATTTTGCAAATAATGGATGGAAAAGTAAGATAATGATGGTCGTTGCCGATGCGTCCTGTCGATTTTGTGGACCTTTAGTCCGCTCGATGATGGTATTCGGCGTGGCGCCGGTATCACAAGTCTGTCGCCACTTCCGCGGTACGTCACTCCCGTAGTTTCTTGTTCATACATGCGAGAATCTGACGCTGGAGGACGACAGTGTTCACCCAAAGGTGTTTGTTGGAGCGGCGTTGTCGGTCGGGTGGTACATGCTTTGGCTGACGTACGCTGGTGCGAAGTGGATGCCATGCGGAGTGACTATTTTTAAGAAAGTAAAGACGTATGCATACTGTAGGTAGATCTTGCGGGGTGATTTTTTCTCCGCAAAAGCATGCGCACGGTAGGTAGATACATATCATAGTCATTTTTTGCGGGGTGACGTTCATTGCCCGCCGCCAGAACATCCTAATACTTACGCATACGGTAGAAACGTCTTTCGCGGTGTGAGTGACCCTTTTCGTTGGCGAGGCAACAGGATATTTTAGGTATTGCCAGCGGCGGTGTTCTGCACGACGCGGAAGATAATACATAGGAAACAAGAGCTTTCAAGGTCAAGGCAGCTGCTGCTCAATAAGCGAGCCATTACCCCAAGAGGCATTGAATGATCTCGGTGTCTCATCATCATGTGGACGGTGCAATCATCGTGTCATACGGCAACAACTCTACTGCGTCTGTTGCTCTGGTCTTGGAAGGATACAGGGAAGAAGAAAACTCCAGATGCGTTTCTTCAGTGCATTGCACGCCGAAACATCCGTAACGTCGTCTGCGGTGCAGGCGCAGCTAGCAGGCGCGATGTCGTATGACATGGACGCCCGTGAAGCGAACCGCGCTAGAGAGGAAAAGCATGGCATAGACTACCGAATATGAACTATTCGAAAGGGTAGTTTAAGTTTGCATATGCGCTTCCTTGCTTGAAGGATGTCGGATGTGATTAAGGGATCGCCCCTCGTTTGACCACCCGCCCCGGCGAAACGGGCACACGCGCCCGCCCACCCTGAGAATATGGCATGGAACAAAAATGAGCGTATACATACGATGGTATGCGTACCACCAGACCATTGTTTGAGCAATAAACTGTTGACTGTGGGGTTTAATGGGAATTGGGCGCCCTGGTGGTCTTCTGGTCGTTAACGTTCACTCGTTACCGTCCACCGTTGTGCTGCCGAGGTTGCTGTTTAAGAAAATATGAAAATAACGCTGTTGCTACCTGCCGTCGGGGATATCCATGAATATGAAAATATGGATTACATGTAAGTACTACGCAACAAAACGCGGAGGTAGGCGACATGCGTATTACCCCTGTGTTTTCCCTGTCAGAAGCACAGCAGAATGGCGTACGGTCGGTCGTGGCTACGATACTTGTAACAAGTGAAGAGTTTAGTGCATATTTTCGAAAAGAAGAGGGTAGATTATGGGAGGGGGCTCCGACGATATGAGAGGGTCTAACCCGGTTGTCACTGACTTGACCCGCCGTAGTGCAGTTGAGTATCCTCTTGTCTCGGTATGAGAGGGCGCTCCGATGTAAGAGGGTCGAGGATCATTGTCACACCACCCTCTTATATCGGAGCCACGACTCTGTAGCAGAAACCTACGCCGCTGAAATATAGTGATTGGTGTGTGTGATACATCAGCAAGCAGCTGCTGACTACAGTAGTGTGGTGGAGCAGCAATTAGGTTCTTATGCAAACCACTAAAGTAATGGCCACATCCAATAGTATAAGCTGGCAGCAATATATCTAGCTAGTCATCGCAGCAGTACCTAATCGCAGTAGCAGCAATCTACGACAGGTCATGGAAAATGTACTGTAGGATATGCGGGACTGTCAAGCTGTCAGCATTGGGATACAGTATTGGGATTGCATGGGACCATGAGATTTTCGGAGACCGAGACGGACATCTGGGAGGCCATTTATGTTTCGGGCTGAGCACACTCAGGCGCGCACCTGCCCCTTGTGCTCACTCCTCATCATTACCATCTAAGAAAACCTCGCCTTGGGGTCCGACGGCAACAACGACATGTATTCATCTCTTGGTTCCGAGACACACAGAGCTGCAGTGGCTCTCTGTAAGCAGTGTGCACCTCTTCTCGGAGGCTATGTATGTACACAACGCGTGGCTACACCCCAGCGGATCATGCTTTCAGAGTAACCGCTGTCTGCAAGCGCATATCACCAAGAGCTTATGAGACTTGCATAACGATTCTACACTACGAGCTACGGACATCACGGCGCGTCCAAGACACGCCATCGTCAGGCAGCTGC